AAAAAGTCCTCTAAGTCTAAGAGGGTATTACACAGAACCTAAGTTGATACCTCACAAAATGCTCGCTCACTTATATAGACAAAACCGACCCTACCTCCTCAATTCCTCCTGGTTTTGCCTATATAACTGAGCCCTAAGTCCATCTGCGGACTTCTCTACTATGCTACCCTGTCTATCATACATTTTACCTTCTACCTCTGAGACCTTCCCTGCTGCCTTATCCTCAAGAAACTCGAGACAGTCCAAAGCCAGATGCACGTCCCTCTTGCAGTAGAAACATAGCTGATCTACTTTTCTATTGAACTTCTTCTTCCTGGGCTGAGGAGGTGGCGATGAAGGAGATCCTACCAAGGTACTAACAACCTCCCGCCGCTCCTGTCGAGGAGCTGTGGTACTAACGACCTCCTGCTGCTCCGTCCAAGGAACCGGTCCCCCAGATTCAGATCCAGTAGCCCAAGATCCCAGTCTACTCCTCAAATCCCCTGTCGCTGGGACGTACTCAGGCATGTCCAACCTCTGAGGCCTCCTCTCGAGTGTCTCTCCTGGCACTGTCATGGGCTGCTYCTCAATCTCCTCTGGTCCATACTCAGGTGTGCCCATTTTCTGGAGCCTGCTCTCGATAGCACCCTCTACCTCAATCCCCATCTCTCTCTCAAGAGGCTCCTCTATCCTCTGCTCAGGCGAAAACAAACTCACCTCTTCCTGCATATTATGCACCGCCTCAAGGAGCACGCCCATGGATCCTTCTGCTGAGCCCTGGGCCGGCTCACTGCTAGATGGTGGCGGCCCCTCCTCTACTGCCAAAGGTACGACTGGGCCTGCCGCCGCCATTGACAGCGTCGCGAGCTCAGTAGGGGCTCTAAACTCGAATGCCTCTCTCTCCGCCTGTCTCCGGGCTCTCACCTCCTCTGGTTCCAGGATAGCTCTCCCCATAGGTGGCTCCTGGCGAGGCCCTGCTGCAGATGGCTGTCCTGGCAATCCTTGTCCCGGCTGCCTCTGCTCTCCCTGCCTGCTGCTCTCTGGCCTGTCCACCCTTCCCTGGGTTTGCTGCCTCAGGCTCTCGATGATAGCTGCCTGGCTGGCCACCAAGGCCCTGAGTTCCTGAATTTCCATTTCCATAGCCTCCAAACGTACTCCATGGCTGGCTTCCTTCATTTTCTTCCCTGCCAGATCGCTCTCCAATAACAAGTGCCGGTCAAAAGTGGTCTTGGCCAGGAACTTGATTTTACGATCTAACCTCTCTTCCGCCTTCGTGGCCATTCCAAACCCGGTTCTGACTGGCGATGACAGTTCCTCTCCTCTTTGCTCCCAGAAGTCTCTCCACATCTCAGGAATCTCCGGAGCCCTAGCTGGTGCGCTGGGTGGCTGACCCGGGAGTGCTCCTGCTGCCTCTGATCGCTGCCCCTCCTGTTGCTGCTCCGGGAGCTCCCCCGCTACCTCCAATCTCTGCCTCTCCTGCCATATCTCTTCTATCCGTCTAGTTCTTTTCACCCTCTTTTCTTCAGCCGTCTCTCCAGCTGGCGCCCTTTCCTTCGTGCGGAGGTCGACCCTCTTTGGTATCTCTGCTTCCATCTCCTTCTCGGGCTGGCATGACTCCTGGCGTGGCTCTGCAGGTGCTGGCTCCTCCAGGCCTGGATGCTCCAGGGCATAAGCTGCTAGGTGCCTATCAATCAAAGTCAAAGCTTCCCTCCTTACAGCTGCCCTCCCTTTTGGCGAAGGAGCCTTTTCTGACGACGGTAAAGGGGCCTCCTCTCACTGCAACCTCTCCTTTGCCTGCTGGGTGGTCCCTGGTGCATCTCCGAGTCTCAAACCCACTGCTGGCGTCTGTGGGGGCGTGTCCTCTCTAATCTCTATCACTTCCTTCCCTGCACGTCTCCCCTCATCGCCCAGCCTTCTCTCTCGTTGAGTACCCTGGACCTCTTTCCGTGACACCTCCTCCTGTGACACCTCCTCTCGCGGTATCTCCTCCTGTGGCACCTCCTCTCGTGGCACCTCCTCTACTTGCTCTTCATACTTCTCATCATGAGGCGACGCTTTCCACTGAGAGATATCCAGATGCGTTTCTAACTCTCTCAACGGCCCTTCAGACACTGGCGGTTCCTCTCATGGGTGTGCTGGCGACCTCCTCAATCCACCCTCAGTAAAACGATGGAACTCCACTGGTCCCAACCCACACTCAGGGTATGTCCCTCGCTCTTCAACCTCTGGCTCCTGCTCCGGCTCCTCCTCTCTCCTGGCTAGGGCCTTCCGTCCTCCTCGTGATGGTCTCGCCTCCCTGGGCTCAGGGTCCCTCGGTCTTTGACTCCTCTGCCGCCTCTCGACTCTGGGCTGAGGGAGCTCTGGCCGTCGAAAGGCCTCTCTCAGATGTGCCCTGCAGCTCTCCCAATCTCGTGCCATGTCCCTGATCTGCATAGCCAGTGGCCTTTCCGCCTTCCTGGTCCAAAGTGGTAGCGTCTGCATCCAATCATCTCTCGGTGTGCCCTGCCCCTGCATGAACCACTCAAACGCGGGGATGAAGTCCGACGCATTTCCAATCTCCAGGCGGATCGGCCTGCCATCAGGTCCCACAGGCGAGGGTCGCAACTCCTCCATCCTCATCTCCACCTCCTGCCTCGTCGTCGCCTCCCTACGAATCCTGGCAATGGGCTCCTCGAACCTACCTGCTCCCCTTAATCCCTCAATCGCCTGAGCGACAGTCCAACCCATACGCCTCGCATGCTCCCAGAAACTGTCCAAGAATAGCTCGATGTCCCCATCATTATAGACTGGAGTACTCTCTCGATGGCGAGGCCCATGCCGCTCGTATCCTCCTGATGCGCCCAACGGCCTCTGAGGCGGCCGTGTCCCCTTCCCTCCTCTTGGCATGGCTGTCTTCGTAAAGTCAGACCTGCACAACAGGCGAAGGAGACAACAGGCACACATTGGGGTAAGCAAGCAGGTGATAATCAAAGCAAGCTCAGACCAGATCACACTCATGCAGTATGCATCCTACCTAACCTACACACCCTGTTACTTCTATCCTAAAGACAGTCAGGTCATCTCTCTTACCTCTTCTCTCGCCACAAATTTCTTCAATCGCATTCCAGATACCCAATCCTTCCACTTAGTCTCATTTACTTCCTCGATCTGGTACGCTCCGAAGTCTCCGACCCGYGCGATCCGGTAGGGACCTAACCACCTCTTATCGAGCTTCCTGGACCATTGCTTCTCCAGTGATGAATCGTAGAGAAGCACGACATCTCCAACTGCCAAGGGTACTTTCCTCACCCGCGCAGATTGATCCCACCGAGCCTTATCGTCCATACGGTTTCTCGCCACCAGGTCAGACGTCTCCTGGATCCTCTCTTCTATCGCCCCTATCTGCCGTGCCCGAATATCGAGCAATTCTTCAAATGACAGGTTAACTTCCAGATCCTGGCGCCTCCATGTCTTAAGAAAGTTTTCGATAGGGAAGGTGGCGTGCCTTCCGTACCACAACGTCGCCGGTGCGTACTTGGTGGATCTTTTTACTGTAATATTCTCAACAAAGAAAGCCGCCCTTAGGTATCTTGGCCATTGATTAGGCCTACCTTCTGTCCAYTTGGCCAGGAGACTCGTAATGGTACTATGTCCTCGTTCCACGGGAGCATTTGCCTGGGGRTGCGCGGCCGTGGTGTAGTTGGCTGCCACACCATACCTTGATAAAAGTTCTTGCACTTCCTGGCAAGTAAACTCCGATCCCCTGTCCATTACGAATTCCCTGACGAAAGGATA